TATCAACCACATAAAATCTCCCATAAATTTTGTCGCCAAACACCCAATCATTATAAATGATATTATCTAATTCTAGCTTCGTTGGGTTGCACGCGGATAACTAGTTCATTACGTGCGGCATCTTTGAAGATACTTCCGGGGACGTCCCGAAATTGTATACGTACTTCAGTTTTTGCTTCATTCAATGCTATATTAATTTAGAAAAATACTGATTAATATAAATTAAGATTTGATATTATTAATTAATTAACGGTTCGTATACACACCTTTGCCACATTTTAGAATAAAAGGAACACCTTCCCAACGTTCATTATTAATCCAAAGCGTAGCAGCAGCAAAGGTAGGACAATTGCTATCCTTTGGTACAGTCTCATCATCTAAATATCCAGGTTTAGATCCATCTTCTGATTTGACATATTGACCAAGTATAGTATCTTCCGATTTTACCGGTTGGATACATCGAAGAACTCTAACCTATAACAAATAAATAGTATTAGTGTATTTCCACAAAAAGCATCAAGCATATGAATGCTAACCTTTTCATCACGAACATCTTCAGCATCCAAGGAAACAGGTGTATCCATAGCAACGATGCTCAAAATTTGCAGTAAATCTAGTAAAATTTAATATTAACTAGCTTGCTAAAATAAGCAATGTTCTAGGCACATCTATAATACTTACGATTCTGCATAACATCACGAATGATACCAAACTCGTCAAAATAACCACCTCGACCTTCAGTTCCGATAGTTTCTTTAAAAGTTATTTGAATATTGGCAATAGAATGTCGATTCCAAATAGAGCCAAAGAATACATTTGCAAACCGAATAATTAAAAGATTCTTGACCATTTCTTTTCCGAGGTAATGATCAATACGATAAGTCTAAGCAAAAGAAATATTAAATTTGGTCATGCAGTAAGAAATTATGCTAATCAATAAAAAAGTACTTCTTCTTCTGCCCATAATGGAGCCAATGCTTTTCCCAATTCACGGGAGCTTTCCAAATCCATACCGAAAGGTTTCTCTACTATTAGTCGATTAATACCTTTTGTCGAATAAACATTCTTTTTGAGGCCTTTGGCTACTTGTATAAAGACACTTGGAGGCAATGCCATGTAGAATACGCGATTTTTATCACCAGGTATATCCTTTTCAATTTTTTCAAACTCTTCATTCAAATGCTGATATCCCTCATCAACATCATACGGGCCGGAAATATACGTGCATAGTTCAAGAAATTCACCAAGTTGTTTCTTTACTTCTTCAACTGGAGTTTTGATAAATTGAGAAATTCGTTGACGGAATTGAGCTAAATCCATCTTTGAACGCGCATAGCCCACGATATGAGTATTCTCCGAAAGAAATCCATTACGATAAAGACCAAAAAGAGCCGGGAAAGTTTTCTTTTTCGCAAGGTCACCCGAAGCACCCAATACTGTGTCAACAAGTGAAACAAATTCATTTATTTACAGTATTTTAAAAACACGAAGAACGCGACAAATATTAGGATATACTTACCAACTATTGTAGTTTGACCTGTAAGCAAATTACTTGTAGCAGACATTGTGTAGAAAAGAAAGGATACAATCGTAAGGTTATAATGAATCTCATTTTTATATCAGAATTTTAAGATGATCAGGAAAAAGTTCCCACGGAAACTTTGAAACTTTCGTGATGATGATGATTAATCATCCTGCTTAATCAGATTCCATATGGGGAATCTTTAGAGTCCCAAATTAATTACTTAATTTTGGAGATTCATTGATTCACGTGTCTCACAATCGATAAACAAGAGGGAGATTGTAATTACTTTGACTATTGGGATCATGGAGAATTCTGAGAAATCATTTTCTGTTATAGTTGGAGGACGTGAATTTATACTTCAAGAGTCTAGGTAAGAAAGTATCCCTACAAAATGTCTTAAGTGTTATTACTTGGAATTTGCTCTAAACTTAAAAGTTTCTTTTTATTTGGGTGAAGTATTCTTCGTGATGCTCCAAATTATTTCGCTGCAGCATTTCTTGGTCCTTTTAAGGAGTCTTGTACGCGGCAACTTGTAATAGACCGTAACCCAACTCTTTTCGAATACATTCATGAATACTTGAAAGGATATGATATATTTTCATTACCAATATACTCGAATAATGATAACAAAAATTGTGTTTCAGCTTTGACAACAAAAGCTTTATTTGACGAATGTCACGAAAATTTATTAAGGGATGCACAGTTTTATGGTTTAACGGGATTAATAAAAGAAATAGAAGAACGGTACCGACCTAAACGTTTCACCTCCCGACACACATATATTAATCCTTTCTTAATGCACAAAAAACATTTGGCATATAATCTCCGGGATCTTGACGTCGAGAAATTATCCGTTGACGAATTAGGATATCCCGTGTGGCAAGACCAAACTTCACTTGACGCTAAAAAATATTTGCTTCATATTCATGCGCAAGATTGTATTCTTTCACTTGGCTTACATCGTTCAGACGAGTCAGTTAAAGTATCGTTAGAATTTCATGATTCGCGTGATATTAAAATAATACAAGAACTTACAGAACATTTTGGTGCGCAAACGATAAAGTCTGAAGATATCGCAGAAGAGAAAATTAAAATTGGCGGGACACTTAAGGGAAAAACGGACATTTCAGACGTGTTCCTTAATATTGATGATATCAATTGTACACTCTGGGAATTACTTCATTTTCGTGATTATTTATCCGACATAACTGTAACTGGTCCAAAACGACAACGAATGCTAGAATTAGATAATATCATTTATAATGATTGGGTGTTTGGCGACAAAATTTATGGGAGATTTTATGTGGTTGATA